TATGACCTAATTTTTTTTAAAAAACTTTTCATTCCATGGCTGATTGAACCCCTGCATGTCAAGCACACAGATACAGAGCCAGCTCTGTTCACTGAACCATTTCATTGGACGTTGGCACCCACAGGGGGTCTGGAATCAATCTCCCATTGACCTAAAGAGACAACTACAGAACAAAATCCTTCTTTTGTCTCTTTGAAATAAGATGATTAAATAATTAATATTACATTTAGCAGTCAGGATATTTTTAATAAGAATACAAGTAATGATTAGATTTTGAACACTGAGTTAACACAGAATATTTCTGGAACACGTGATGAAGCAGAAGATGCTAAAACTGTTCATTCGTTTACCACCCAACAATATGATGTATTTGACATTGGTATTATGAGTTCCATCTCCAGTGTGAAAAACTATTTAAAAGGCAGCAGCGCTCTGAGCCACAGACAGCTCTGTAAATAGAGTAGTACCTTCCACCTAACTGTGCAGGGCAGGGGATACAGATTTTCCTTGATTTGGAATTTTTTAAAGTAGTTAAGGTACCATACCATATTTTGCACCTCCTCCCCTACCCGCCACCAAAGATCAGAACCTACTGTGTATAAAACACAGTGTTTTACCTATGAAACTTTGAAAGCTTCACTGCTCTATTTCATGTAAAACATTCATCGCAAGAACTGAGCGGCATTGACTGGCATGCACAAGGTCCTGAGTTCAATCCCCAGTGCCGCAAAAAACTGTAAAAAATAACTGTAATTAAGGATTTTTTTTTAATTAAGGAGTTCTAATACAACAATAAAAAAATTCAGAAAAAGAAATACTGAGCATGGCCACTTTTCAGCTCGATGTATACGCACAGAGCTGCTAGGACCCCTGAGCTGCCATTCTTCCTCTCCTCCCTCCTCATTCCCAGCTATGACTTCCGTTGCATTGTCTTATTTTTTCAGGAGGGCTCCCCCTGTGCAGCAGCACTTGCTAATGACAGACTCATGGTGGCAAAGGACTTGTGTGTGTGTCTGTCTGTCTGTCTCTGTCTGTCTCTCCCCCCACCAAACCCCAGCTTCAGAGGTAGAATTCTACCCCATGACTGCAAAAGTTCTTTTGTCTGAACTCCACGGTGATCCCAAAGCAAGATGTTGCTCAAAACGAGGACCACAGGGTAGGAAACATGAGTTCATACCTCAGTACCCCACAGAAAGGTCAGGGCTATGTACTCCAACACTGAGGCTACCTTCCTTCGAAATTAAAGGGGTGCATCCAACCTGTCCCATTTATCAGGAATAGTACATAAGATTTTTTTTTTTTTTAACTTCTCTGACTTCTTTACTTTTTTCTTTCTCTTTTACATAAGATTTTTAAGATGAGGTGACATACACAAAGAGTTAATAAGCAGGAGGAAGGTTACAGGTAGTACATAGGCCATGATGGCATGTCCAACAGAAGTATTAATGCATGTTAAAATGTAAAGACCCAAAAACGCAATCACACAACATGGGAAGTCAACTGGAAGGAGGGATTAGACTCTAAAATTTTGAGACAAGGTCCTGTGCTTGGGGCAGAGATGTGGGTAAGCATCCCTGATATATGTACTTTCCCTACAGGAATATAGTAGCTCTCCTTTGCCTCAGCAAATATGTTCCAAGAACTTGGCCAACACCATTGACAGCACTGAACTACATATACACAGTGGCACCTCAGTTCATGGATATTTTCCTTTGCTAGCAACCTGTTTGCAAACAATATGCTTTGGCATTTTGGGTTTTTTTGTCTGCAAACACTACCCCGAGTGACTGTAGCCATCTCCCCTGCACAAACACAAAGGTGGCCGTATTTTCCAAAACTGTAGAACCAATTAAGCTCGCGAACCAAGGAACTTCTATGCTATGGCTTTTTCCAAGTGCCCTGGAGCGCGACCACACAGAACACGTTATCTATCCTTCCGGTGTGTCCTTTGGTATCCATCGTTAAGTAAAACACTGGATACCAGAAAACAAGATCTGCAAACCCACCAGTCCGTCTGATTACTGATAGTTCTAAGTAACTGTAGATGAGTAAGCCAAGATAGAACGGATACTCTAAAGGGATGACTCCCCCACTGAGTAGGAGATGCAGAATGTCATGAGATTCCATCACGGTACTCAATGGAGCAAATAATTTGAAACTTATGAATTGCTTATTGGAAGTTCCCACTTAGTATCTTCAAACCATGGTTGTTGACCTTGGGCAACTGAACTGGGAAAAGTGAAAAACCACAGACAAGGAGGAAACTTGATACACAGGATAAAATCTTGAGGAAGGGAACTTAGGAAGCAAAACCGTCAGGCAGGGATACCGTAGGCGCTAGGTACTACTCTAAGTGCCTCCCAGAGCTAACGGTTACTTGTGGTCTAGCTCAGTGTGCACACCCGAAACACCTCCGCATGGCTTTGTAACAACACACACTAACACTTCTGATTACTCACTGGATGTCTGTCACCTCGCTGGACTCTGCATCCCTGAAAGGATTCTAGTCAACTATGTGTGCTCTGTACAAGCTCAACAGATGCTTAATAATTATAAGATAATTAGCTAAGCAAATAAAGCAGTTCGAGACTAAATGATTAAGAAAAATAAGAAAGCAAAAATAAGCCAGTTAATTACATAAATGTTTGTAAGGGGCAATTACATTACTCTCTACTCACATCACAACAGTAATTTACTTAACCCAAGAACCGAAGCAAATATTTATTGACTGCGCGCTAGTCGCCAAGCCCCCCAGCATTGGCGCTGAGAAGACAAAGACAAATGTGAATGAATATGATATTATTCCTTATATGAAGAGCACAATTTTTTTAAAAAAACTAGTTTCTTGGAAATATGATTTGGGATAGAATCTGAGAAAGGAAGGAGCAAGTTTTACATTTCGAACATCAAATTACGAAATGGGGGGGTACTCCAATGTGACTGACACTTGGTGGCAAAGGACTTACTCTCGGGCAAGCACGTATGATAAGAAGTAATGCCTTCACTAATGCTTGAAGCAAAAGATCTGAGAGTTACAGCGCTCTCCCAGCTACTCGGTGATCCAGTTTTCATCTTGCTGAGCCACCCTGCTGATGTGTCCAAGCACAGGCGGTCTCTGCTCAGCCAATGTCGTCCCAGATTCCAACACTATGGCTTTAGCTTCCCCTCAGACGTCTGATGTCACATTTCCTCAAACCTGACTACCTCCTCAGTACATTCAGGGCTGCTGTAACAACAAACAACCCAAACGGTACTTCACACATTTCAGGAGACAGGAAGAGCTAGATGGGGCCTCGCCCAGTCTGCAGTCGGCCACCTTTTCAACTAACTGTATGCTCAGAGCAGCAGGAAAACTCCCTCTAGAAGGCCCTTTTGTAAAAGCACCACTATCACGCATGAAGGATTCGCCCTCATGACCTTCCTGCTACCCAAGGCCCCTCCTCACACCATCATCACACTAGATGTTTTCAACCTAAGAATTTTGGAGGCCCACGGACATTCAGAGCACCGCGTACTACTGCAGGAGTCAGACCAGGGCTTCCCAAGCTGTAAAGAGCATGGCAATACCCAAGGCTAGCGATAAAATGGAGATTCTCAGGCAAGAGGTACAGAGATCTTTTTTATTTATTTATTTATTTATTTATTTTGTAAACTTATACCAAGGGCTACTCCTTGCAAAGGATGTTGCGGGCCCTAGGTGACCCTCAAAAGCAGAAAAGGAAAGCCCAAGGCAGAAGCAATTCGACCAGCTCCATCTCGCCTCTGTCCTCCCAAGGGGCTCTTCTGTGAAAGCTCTATGCTTAAACTGGAGGACCTGGTGAGCCTTCAGTGACAAAGTCTGAGGTAACCCCAGCCTGGGTTATTAGGCTTACGCTAGATTTTTTTGGAGGAAGAAAGAAGCGTCCAACGCCTTTAATCCTGGAAAGGGGGGGTCAGGCTGCTGCAGCTCCCCAATCCTTGACCGACAATACACCTAAGGGTGACACTAGGGGGCGCCGGGAGAGTCGAAGGGGCCTTCAAGGTGGCGAACCCTTTACAATTTTAGTGACGCAAGGGTCCCTTTTGCAGATGAGCCAGCCAGGAAACAGATTACACAACCACACAGATTACCCAACCTGCCCAAGCTGAGCCTAAAATCTTCTCCATTTGGGCGTAACCTGCCCAAATTCATACTACGGCATTTCCAAAAGGCGCTGAGGAGGACCAACCAAACAACGAAAGAAACCGGTAGGCCTGGAAGCCCCACACCACACCGCGCAACCCACCCTCAACCTCACCCCGCGCCTTCTTCCCCAAGGGCGCCAGGGCGGAGAGGAAGCACTTCCGGGACACAGACCTGCGAGCAGCGAGCACTTCCGGGTCAGCGGCCACGGGGGTCGTTAAAGGTCGGCCGGTTTTCAGGCGACAGGCGACCCGCAGTTGGCGCCGGAAGGCTTGAAGGGATTAAAAGGCAACGCTGGCGAGGGAAACAGCACGGGTGTTGACGAAGCCGCCCTTCCCACTGCCGGCGCTCGGACGCACCGCGGGCAACCGCCCGAGAAGGCGCCGCCATCTTGAGCCCAGAGTTTAAATAGAAAAGGCGGGGTCGACGGGGGGGTGGAACCCACGGCGTGGGGCGCGATGACGTCACAGAGGAGGTGGCGCAACGGCGGAAGCCGGGCCTTCTTGGGCGGGCTCAGCGGGCAGCTCCAGGTCCTGATAGGTGGAAGCCAGTTGAGTAACAGCCCCATCCTGCCTTCTGGCCCCGGCTGGGGGCTGGGGGCGGGGCTACCAACGCGGAAGTACCTGAGGCGCGCGTGGGTAGGAAGAGGACGGGGAGGGCGGGCTTGGGTGGGCTGCGCTGTGAGGGCCGCTGCGGCGGCGCGCCCCCTAGTCCCGCTTCCGCAGGGCCGCCCGGCCGCCCGAAGAGAACTCCCCAGATCCCCCTCGGCCCGCTTCTTGGAGAAATGTCATGTAGATTTTACCCGCTTGTCCTGCCGCGGGTGAACCCGGTGCTGGCAGGCAGACGACCTGACTTGGGGTTTTGGCTTAAGGTACTTGGCAGTGACACACCCTGTGTTGTTGATTGTGGGTATCAGTGTTGAAAAAGAAAAGAAAAAGAAAATGCTCACAATAGAAATGAGAGAGGAGAGCAGGGACCTGTATTTGAGATGTGGTGTTGATGAGGAATTTGAGGCAATTGCGATTTCTGATAATTTTTCCTCTCCCCCACTTCCTGCAAAAAAGTTCCAAAGGTCAAGAAAAAAAAAAAGCCAATTAGAATTTATACGTGTTTCTCGCCCACTAGTTAAATGTTAGATGGCATAGTGTATGTACGTAATAGCTATGGAATGTTGTTATATTACTTTTTAATAGGGCCATATTCAGGGGTCAAGATGAAAGGCGGAGAGACTATTCCTTTCCAAGTCTCTTGGATTTAATTACAATGAGTGAAAACGGCTGTGTTTAAGGTAAAGCGTTATATAGTACAAAAAAAAAAGTGCTGGAGTGGCGATCAAGTATAAAATTACACAAGGGCCAGGGAGATGGCTCAGTGGAATAAGCGCTTCCCTGGCAAGCACAAGGGCCTGAGTTCGATCCCTGGTTCTGCAAAAAAAAAAAAAAAAATTACACAGCATGTGGGATGGGCGACAGCAATTCGCGGCATTTTTGTTCTCTGTAGCTCCGCCGGTTCCGCAGCGAGCATGAAGCCCATCAACTTGTCCTTCGCAGCCTGCGGCTTTCTGGGCATTTACCAGTTGGGGGCAGCCGCGGCATTTCGTAAGCACAGCGAGACGCTCCTGAAAGATGCCAAGGCTTTTGCTGGCGCTTCTGCAGGATCCTTGGTCGCTTCTGTCCTACTGACTGCGCCAGAGAAAATCGAGGTAATCGAGGAGGAACCAGGCAGTGTTCCTTGTCCAGTACAAAATGCCTTGTTTTACTGTGCGAGTTTTTATTTCGCCTTAGCAGCCCGACCTTGTTTCCTTTAAGCGAAGGAGATTTGCTCCTCCTGTCATCGTGAGAACTGAGACCCTATTTTGGAGCGCTTTCTGCTGTGGCCTATGCACACTCCTAATCCGAGGCAGACATAGAAAAGAAACTGGGAGTGGGACTTCAATCAATTTGGAATGATAGGGGAATGTAATTTGTTTTTAATTCTCACGGAGAGAAGCAGCTCTGAATTCCAGAGAGTTTCACCAAAAGTGATAAAAATAGCCTTCAGCGGGTATTTTCTTTAACTCAATCTATGTTTTCCAAATGGTTTTTCAGCGGTCTAGACAGTGAGCAAGCGTTTGTTCACAGTGAGAGGTGGTTTTTGTGGATGGAGAAAATATTTGTTAATTACTTGCACGGTCTACTGGCTTTGAACGGTAATAAAATAGGGGTTGAACACGTTGCTGCTCGAGAAAGAATATCGCAACCCGACAGAACCTTGAACATCGAAATCTAATTCATAACTCTGTGAGCTGCTTACGGAAGGGGAACAGGATTTAAGTGCAATTTTTCAGAAATCCACTAGCCCTTTCTTCCCTTTAGATGATTGATTTACAGAGAGCTAAAAAACGTGATTAAAAGCCAGCGATTACACAGCGTATGCACCTTAAATGGGGAGAAATATAAATAAGGTGTGCAGCTGCTCTCAGCATAGGGGAAGCCTTTCCCTTCAATTGCAAAGGAGCTCCTTCCTGCGGCGGCTTTCTTTTGTTTTACGGCTATGAGTGGGGGATTGCTTTCTCTTCTGCTGGCAGGCTTTCCTTCAGGTGCGCAAAGGCCTGAGCTCTGGAGTTGAGTACACTTGGTTTCCACCCTCAGCAAGTTTTAAAACGTCCAAAGTGACTTACATATAATGTAACTTGGAAATAGTACGTTAGTTCTTCCTCTTTAGCATTTGGAATGACCCATTTGTAGGACTTTATTTTCTTTCTCTTTGTAACTTCTCAGTCTACCAGATGTGTGTTAGCACAGTGCTCACTGTTGGGTAAGTTCCTCAAGCTCTTTACTGTGGTGACAACTGTGTGAGTAATTGATCTTCCTCAGAGCTGGAGCACATGTAATTAAGAGGAGCGGTGATGCTGGGTGTATTTTAGGCGGAACGCGCATTTAGACATTGATAGGTAAAAGCTCAATGCAGCGCTTGCCCCAGCCCTCGTGATCTGCAAGGAAGGCCTGGTGTTAAAATGAGCAGGGCTACCAGAGGGGAAGAAGTCCATTCCTCAGTAAGTGTACAGTCTGGTCAGGGTGTTTGCACGAATCTAAAATTATAGATAGCATAATTTTACCATTATAACATACCAAAAAATGGCCAGAGTGCACAGCCCAGCTTAGAAGACATAAACAGACACATTTGAGAGAGACTCCCCCTGTTTCTGTCCTAGAGAGGTGGACCTACAATTTACCTACTTCACACTACTTAGAGATTTTCCCCAAATGCAAATCTGGTTGTTTCACCACCCGCTGCCACCGCCCCCTTGCCCTGAATCCTCCTGGAGATTTGTCAGCAGGCTTCATCAGGTGCCATATAACCTCATCCTTCTCGGGGCTGTGAATATCCACGTGAGCTCAGTGCCCCTCTCAGAGCTCGTTTTGCAGTTGTGCTTAGTATTGTCCTCCTAAATCTCTGTCTCCTGACCCTGTCTAGCTCTAGTTTGCAGGGAAGGCCTCAGCCTAGATGTCACATTGACCTATTGTATTCATTTCCTGTTGCTCTTGTGACATGGCTGTCAGAGTGGTGTCTTCACACCATAGGAATTTATTCTCATAATTCTGAGGTCCTAAGTAAGAGACAGACTTTCTGGGCTCAAGTCATAGTGTAGAGAGGGCCACTCGAGCTCCCTCCTGAGGCTCTGTCTACCCTTTTTCTGGTTTCTAATGGCTTGGCCCATTTTGGGGCTCCTAGTCCCCTCCTCTACCTTTAGAGTCAAAAGCATGACCTCTTCAGATCTCTTTAGCTCTGCCAGTCCTTGCCTCCCTCCTTCCTTTCTATGTTTACCACTTCACGTTACAATACCAAAATACTGAAGGTCCTTAACTCACAAAAATAAATACTTATTTTGCCTCATGATTTTGGACTTTCTAGTCCAAGAACAGGAAAAACGAGTGAGCCTCTGATGGGAATGCCACGTAGCAGTGGCAGAAGCATATAGTGAGGGATGCAACTCACCTCATGGCCAGGAAGTAAAAAAAGAAAAGGAACAGGGGTCCCATAGTCCCCTTGGAAAGCATACCCCCAGTGAGTAGGAACCTCTCACAAGTAGTGCCTCCTGAAATCCTCAGAGCCTCCAAGTAGCAGCTCCCTGCAAACCAAGTCTGTAGCACAGAGACTTTCATCAGAGGGCAGCATCCAGACTCTTGTACCACAATGGGACGAATTCAGGATGACTGGGCCACTGATGGTCCTACGTGATGTGGGTCCATTCATCTTAATCATGATATGTCAGCTTCGTCAGTGAGACGCACCTAGGAGACCAGTGAGTGTGGTAGGGAGATAAGTGTGTGGCCTTGTGTACTACATACTGTCCCTCCTCCATTCACGGGCACGCTTCCGCTCTATTCGCTCCTGCTATGAACTGGGCAGCTTCACCCCTCCACAAACTTCCACCATGATGTCCAGCAGACAGGACTGCATTTCTCAGAACCATGAGCCAAATTAAATCCCTCCTCTAAGCCGTGGGCTGCAGCAGTGGGAAAGCCAACAAATACATTCTCCTTCTCAAAGTTGTTAATGTACTCAGATCTGTGAAGTCCCTCGGAGGGCCACAGGTTATCCATAAGCTCAGTAGCAGAACATGGAAACTTTAAGGAGAGAGAAGAGATCTTGAACCTGTGCTCGGGAAGGTTCTCATAGAACTCCATAGTAGTTCTTGTAGGTACCCATGCATCCCATGAGTCAGAGCCTCTCTATATCTTGTTGTTTTGTTTTGTTTCAGTAAATCACGGAGCATAGAGCAGTAGTAGGGTTCATGCCTAGAGTGGGCAGTGTCTTTTTTTGGGGGGTGGGCAATGTCTTGTTTGTTTCTTCAGCACTGAAAAACTAAAGTGTACCAGACCTCAGTGACCAGCCAAGCACCTGGTGCCAAGTGGTTTGCTAAATCAATCAAATAATAAATGAGTGTACTGAACTAAAATAGCAACTCTCCCTTAAGGAAATAAGAGAGTAGCTTCCTCTGAGCCAAATTGGAGGGACCGTGGCCTCGAAGCATGGATTCATATGGCCTTGAATGTCATGCTGCCCCATGGACGAGGTCACTTGAACCCTTGTAGCCACAGAACAAAGATGGCCATGAATCAAATGCATTTATCAAATGCACTGGCAAGGCGCTAGGTAGGAGGGCTGCAACAAGGCTGAGATACCTTGTGCAGGTTTCTGATGTGGCTCATAGGATTCTTAGCTTTAAGGTGGGCAGAAACCAGAGAGGTATGCAAATCTCATGGATAGGTTCTGAGAGGCTTGCTTGTGGTCAGAAGAATGTTAGGCCAGTTACAAAACTTAAGCCAACTAACAGTTAAAGGGCAGACTGATAGGCTCTGGCCTGAATGCAAACTGATAAATTATCATGGCTCTGATATAACATAGCTGAATCACCAAAACAAAAGCTTATATTCCCAGGGACCACTTCTTTCTCCTTCTCTACTCCAGCCCTGGATGCAACTTCCTTTTACCTCCCCCATGCGCACAAGGGAGCTTCTAGTCAGCTCCTTGTGTGTCACTGAAACTGCCCCTCGAACTCCGTCCCCGTCAAAAGTCCATAAAGTCTCAGCCTTCCTAGTCCGTGGATTCCCCTATCTCCCTGCCCATGATCCTCTGTGCATCTTCAGAGTTAATAAAGGTACCCCCCTTTCTTTCTGCTTCTCTGCTGCACCACCACCGAAAAAGCCTACCACAGACAATGGCCCAAGTTCATTTTGCTTCTCACCCTCCAGTAGCCACAGTTATTCTGCTCCTGTGGGCAAAGGCCACACACCCTATAAGCTCATTAATATCCATCTGCCTTCTTTGGACAACTTGAGTTCTGTGAAAGACAGACCAAGCTCTGATGAACTGTTAAAATATACTGGGGTCTGGGAAAATGGCTCAGTAGAATAAGCGCTTCCTTGGCAAGCTCAAGGGCCTGAGTTCAATCCCTGGTTCTGAAAAAAAAAAAAAAAGATACCAGAATACTCCAACCTTCCATCTTCTCTGTCAAATAGGAAGGAGATTTATTCCCACCTTCAGGGGTAGGTGACAATGAAGTCCCAGCCATGGCTGCCCACAATACTGAGGCTCAGGACAGATCTCCAGAGCCTCTCTGATCTCAGGATATGGCAAATCAAGTCTTCCCAGCTCTTCCTCCTCCTTTCTGCTCTTGGCATTGTCATTGGTCATCAGCACTCTCACCACACTGCATTCCAAATACTTCTCAGGCCTCAAAATCAGGGATGAAGAAGAACTTAATTGTGTATTCAATCTGCAGAAGAATGTGCTAAATTAGAATTTAAATTGAGCCTTCAAGGACATTGCATGGGTGGATGGAGAGAGCCAGAGAGACCCACAGAGGAAAAAAGAAAAGGAGGGAAGGCAAGGGGAAGAGGGAGGAAAAGGTTGGAGTTGTTAGAAGATACAATTTGCCAGTGACCAAGAACACAGAACCTAGCAGAGCCCAAGCACAGTGGAATCTAGGCAGAATTTAGAGCTGGAGTGCATTTGATTTAATAACATAATGGGCCCGTTATGACTTTTCTCTTTCAGGAAAGTAGCCAGTTCATCTATAAGCTTGCTGAAGAAACCAGAAGGCAGTTTCTTGGGGCAATGACCCCCGGTTACGACTTCATGGCCCGACTGAGGTATCTGTTTATATACTGCCCTTGCCCCCAAAGTCTATGAAGACAGAGTGTTGACAGCTCTCCCTGTAAACTCTGGCAAGCTCAGCACTCAGTCTTCTAAAATATTTACAGGGCCTTTAATAATTAAAGGTGAATAATGAGGTTCTCTTTTTCTCCTCTAGGAGTGGAATGGAGTTGATTCTTCCTTCCAACGCCCACGAGCTAGCCAGGAACCGCCTGCACGTATCCATCACCAACACCAAGACCAGAGAAAATTACCTGGTCTCCAATTTTTCCTCCAGGGAGGACCTCATTAAGGTAACAAAGCCACACTTCCCATTAGAGAAAGTCAACAGTTCCCATTTGTATGCTTCCTACAACTAATGAGCCTCTCTGGCTTCTTTAGATCTCCAGTCTCTCGAATCAGGCCTGCTAGACGATAAAAGCCCATGGATGACTTGTTTGATGAATGACTGCACCACTCTCCTCTCTGAGCCTGTGATCCTCTTTATTGCTGGTTTTCTCCTGATGTTCTGGCCTCACGCTTGTGAAGCCACTTGGGGAGGTAGTGCAATGTAGTGCTTCCTTTAATTTGTGTAGCTGACCCTTGGCAGTCTAGGTAAGACTTTGATTTGTCCACTCACATTCCATCCATTACCGGCCCTTCTGCAAATCAGGTGCTACCTGGGACCCTTTTCATCTTTAACAAAGCAGAAATGGGTAGAAAGTCTTGAAGAGCTGTACATGCATACCCAGAGTTGCCCTGCACGCCAGTGTGGACCAATTCTGGTGTCCAAGTCTCTTGGCTTTTTCATCTAGCGTTCTGTTTCATTTCTTCCGTTTTGCTCTGAGGCCTCGCTATCTAAACACATTTGAAAGTGGAATGACTTGAGAATTCATTATCTCTGGGAAATACCTCAGCTGACTGCTTTCCAAGTAAGAATGCACTTGCTGCAGTAATGCACTGTCTGTCAGTTGGAAAGGCTGTGCTTTCCTTAGGAAACCTGGGAAGGATTTCCTTTCTTCTTCCTTTCTCTGGAATTCAGAATTCATGAATTCAGATTCCGCTAATACTGAGAAACTATGATTGCACGCTAATAAGCTGAATGAGAGTGAGTGATGATGGTTCTACCTGAGTTAAATAAAAATATTGATTTTTTTTTAAAAGATGTCTTCTGGGTGGTGTAGTCAAAAATCTTTAATAAAATGTTGAATTGACATGTTAAATTACTTCGCAGCTTAATGGATTAGAATATTTATATTTGGTGCACCTATTATACCTATCTTTCACTTCTATATTAATAGTCTTTGTATCTTAGAAAAATGTATTTCCCTATAATGTGATCATAAAATTTATTATACTGTTAGGTACTCTTAGACAATATAAAAGGAAGAGCTGGTCATCAGTTGTCAATGTCCATTTGAGACGTGGCTTGGGTTGGGTTGGGTTGCTACCTCGTGCAGTTTATCTGTGGCGAGCTATGTACTATTATGCCTTAATTGAAGAGGGTGCTACTTTTCCTGTCCATCCCCTTTCTGTCTTTTATATGACTATTTTAATTGGCACATAACATTTGTACCGAGTGTGATATTTGATACTTGTCTCCAACATGTAATGACCAAATCTGGACAATTATGCATCACCTGCAACATCAATCATTTTTTTATGTTCAGAACATTCAAATCCCTTTTCGCTACTTAGAAATACCACATATTGCTAACAGTACTCAGCTTGCTATGCTATCAAACATTAAAACTTATTATTCTTATCTAATTATAGTGTAGTTCCCAGTAGCCATCTCCTCTTTCTGCCCTCGTTACACCCTTCCCAAACTCTGCTAACCACAGTTCTGCTCTCTTCTATGAGTTCAGTGGTGCTAACTTCCACAGTGAGTAAGATCATGGAGTACTTGTCTTCCTAAGCCTGCCTTGTTCCACCTACCGTAATGTCTTTCATTTTCATTCATGTTGCCATGAACCACAAGATCTCATCTTTTTATGGATGAATTGTGTTCTGCTGTGTGTAATAGTGTCCTGTTGTGTGTAATAGCGTCGCGTTGTGTATAGTAGCATCCCTTTGTGCATAAGAGTATCCTGTTGTGTGTAAGAGCGTCCCATTGTGCGTAAGAGCTTCCTGTTGTGCGTAGGAGTGTCCCATTGTGCGTAAGAGCATCCCATTGTGCGTAAGAGCGTCCTGTTGTGCGTAAGAGTGTCCCATTGCGTTCAAGAGTGTCCCGTTGCATGCAGGAGTGTCGTTGTGTGTAATAGCAGTCCATTGAAAGAGCATCCCGTTTAGCTCTTCACCAGTTGCTGGACATCTTGGTTGAGCCCACCTCTGGGCTGTTGTAACCAGTGCTGTAATGTGGGAAAGTTAATAGCCCTTGGATGTCCTGCCTTCATCTCCTTGGAGTGTAGACCCAGGAGTGGGCTAGCTGGGTTAGGCGGCTGTCACTTTGTCCGTGAGCCCCTGACTTCTCCATCTATAATGTGAGGACCCATTTTCTCAGTTACTCTTTTCTCGTTGCTGGGACAAATACCTGACACCCAAAATGAAGGAAGAAAAAGTTTATTTAGCCCACAGTGTTTGGAGGTTTCAGTCCATACTCGGCTAGCTTCAAGGCATACTGGTACATGGCAGACAGCAGCAGTTCATAGCAGCAACGAAGAGCAAGAGGAGCCAAGGGAGGAGTTGCACCAACCATGGTGCAGAGGGGAAGACTGTCTCCCTTGAATTTCATTTAGGCTATCTGCCTCAGGTTGGGAGTAGTATTTACACCCATAATCCCATTGGATTTTGAGTTAATGTCAAACACTAGAAGTCTGCCCCATGGTTGCATGAGGTTTTGGAGACAGCTAGAGACAAACCATAACACCCTTGATCTCCATCTGTGTCCCCTCTTAAAATATTGACCACTGTCTTGAATACTCCATACTGTGCTGCTCGGTTCATTTAGTTTTTGTTTGCCTTCCTTCAGTGGAAGGTGGACATCAAGATAGACAGCGATGGGTCAGAGAGCTAGCTCAGCAGTTTAAAGCGTCTGCTAGGCAAGCTTAAGCAGGTGCTCAGGCACCATGGTTGGATCCCACGGCACCACATGCTGCGCTAGCCCTGCCCACAGGGCAGACTGAGCTGGCTACAAAAAAAAAAGAAAGAAAGGTGGCAATTGCTGTTTTCCCAATAAAGAAATCCCCAACACCTGGTCATACTGACAGCCTCCTTGTAGGTACTCCAGGAAAAAGTGTCAGACAAATGAATATACATAAACCAATTAGGGTGGCACCTATTACAGTGGACTAACTTAAAGCAAAAGCAAGGACAAAGAAGCTGGGCCCTGTGTACTGAGAATCCTGGGGAAACACCATAACTGGTGAGCAGCCCCCCTGGGGGGACAGTGCATGTCTCCAGTATTCTGCTGTGGTCATGCCTTAGGATAGATCAAAGATCATCTTTTCCGTCCCTGTTGGGAGTGAGAATATAATAGACATAATCCCAGCCCCTGATACAAGCATACCCTATGTCCTAGGACCTGTGAAGATGGAAGCTTACGTTGCAAAAGGGATTTAGGTTTGGTTAAGGTAAAAATCTTGAGGTGATGAGTGTAGTTGATACCCGTGGATCCAGCCTGCGTGTGTGGGTCCTAACCAGTGGAGGCTTCCCTGGATTTGATGTTCTGTGACCTACTCTTTAATGTGAGAGCCAGGTTGAAGGAGACTAGGAAGAGCAGTTCTCTTCTGACAGCCAGCAATGAAAAGGGCCCTCTGCCCTGCAAATACACGGGACAGGCCTCCTCTGATACTGGCATGAGCAAGGAACTGTCTCTCCCCTTGAGACCTTTGGAAGAAGTGCAGCCTCTCTGACACTTGATGTGTACCTGCCAGTGTCCTGGTCCCTGAGTCCTGACCCACAGATTTCCTGGTCATAAATATGTTTGTTTGAAGCTCTTGAGTTGGCAGTGCTTTGGTACCACAGTGGTGGCAAACTATTGCTATGAGTAAACATGATTTTTTTCTATTTCTTTTGTTTTGGATAATAGCTACTCAGAGAATTGGTGTAATTATTTGAGTTCATTGAGCAGAAGAGAAATAGCTACCGCTGGCCTGTAACACCTTACCAGGAGAATACCGAATAATTAACATTTATCCTAAGTTATACAAAGAATGTTCTCACTGTTTAGTAACATGCCTTAACCTTTTCCACAACTGAAACAAAGGAAAGAGAAATAGTTTCTTGAAAACAGGCTGTAACCATAAAAATGTATGAAATAGCTGCTGAGAGTACACAGGAAGCAGTTTTTAAGAGTAAGAAAGGAAAGATGGGATGTCAAGGAGCAAACAAAACAGGATGGACAGGAAAAAAATTAACTCCCTGGCTGGGTTATGGCTTTTGCAAGTTTAAGCCCCGTGGGTGAAGGTTGGCTTGGGTAGTTCTATCAAACCGTCTTTGCCCACCGCGCAAAATACTAGCCATTCAGACAACGAATTTTGCGAAAGAGAATACATATGCAAGGCAGCCAGCCATGGAAGCAGGAGACCCAGGTTGCAAGCGGAGGGGATTCTTAGGGCAGAGAATGAACAAGTCCCAGTGCTTGCTTTGTGGACCTGAGCCTAGGCCAGCGGAGCCTGTGGAGTGGCAGTAGGAGAGGTACTGCTTATCCTTTCTCTAGTTCTCAGGTCTTTGGGAGAGGATTCTGAGCTGCGAAGGATACATGGGTAAACCCTCATTTTAACAAGTGCCCAGTCGGTGGCTGTGTAGTGGTTGATTGATTGTGTCAGGCTGAGCAGTTTACAAGCTTAGCTGAGTGACTCTGCCATTCTCCATCCTAGGGTGTGGAGGATGTACCCTGGGGTCGCTATTTATGCTATAGGATGTTGTGATGGGTGATTCATTGTGTTGACTTGAGAAGTTTAGAAGTTTAACTGAGTGACCCAGCACGGGCAAGGACGCCTCCCTTTGTTGTTTTTATGTATTTGGTACAAGGTCTTACTTCGCAGCTCACACTGGTAGTGACCCTCCTGTCTTCAGCCTCCCCATGCTGGGATTACAAATGTGCACCACTATGCCCAGTCTTGGCCCCAGAGGTGGTGCCAGCACAGTCTGTGGTAGCAGGGATCAGGGATAGGACCTCAGTCCAGGCACTTAGTCTGCTGAGCTATCTCACCAGCCCTCTAGGGGGGTCTCACTTTACAAACAGCCTGAGCCTGTGCAAGAGGAGGGCAGAGCAACGGTGTGAGTGCTGTACCTCCCACCCAGAGGAGGAACCCTGCATGCAATATAAGGGAGGAAGAGAGGCTTTTCCACTCTCTCACTCTTGTTGCTT